TGAAGTACTTCCTTTAGCATTTCTTGTAGGACAGGCCTACTGTTGATGAAGTCTCTCAGCTTTTGTCTGGGAAAGTCTTTATTTCTCTTTCATGTTTGAAGGATATATTCACAAGATCTACTATTTGAGGGTAAAAGGTTTTTTTCCTTCGCATTTTAAATATGTCATGACACTCTCTTCTGGCATGTAAGGTTTACACTGAAGAGTTGCTGCCAAACATATTGGAGCACCATTGTATGTTATTTGTTTCTTTTCTCTTGCTGCCTTTAGGATCCTTTCTTTGTCCTTGACCTTTGACAGCTTGATTATTAAATGCCTTGAAATCATCTATTTTGGGTTAGATCTTCTTGATGTTCTATAACCTTCTTGTACTTGGATATTGATATCATTCTCTAGGTTTCTGGAGGTTCTGCTATTATCCCTTTGGTTTTTGTTTGTTTTTAACGTGGAGTCTCACTCTGTTGCCCAGGCTGGTGTGCAGTGGCACAGCCTTGGCTCACTATAACCTCTACCTCCTGGGTTCAAGCAATTCTCCTGCGTCAGCCTCCTGATTATCTCGGGTTACAGGCACCCACCACCACGTCTGGCTAATTTTTGTATTTTTAGTAGAGACAGAGTTTCACCATGTTGGCCAGGCTGTGTTATTCTCCCTTTGAATAAACTTTCTACTTCTATCTCTAAGTCCCCCTTAAAGTCAATAACTCTTAGACTTACCCTTTTGAAGCTATTTAGATCCCACAGGTGTGCTTCATTGTCTTTTATTCTTTTTCTTTTGTCACCTCTGACTTCATATATTCAAATAATCTGTATTTTTTTTCTTTCGTCTTTTTACCCAAGAGGTAAAGGAAAATAGTCTGTCTTTAAGCTCACTAACTCTTCTGTTTGATCAATTCTGCTATTAAAGGACTCTTACGCATTCTTCCATATGCCAATTGCATTTTTTAGCACCAGAATTTCTGCTTTTTAATTATTTCAATCTCTTTGTTAAATCTATCTAATAGTATTCTGAATTTCTTCTCTGTGTTATCTTGAATTCCTTTGCATTTCCTCAACATAGCTATTTTGAATTCTCTGTCTGAAAGATTACATATCTGTTCCTCCAGGATTGCCCTGATACCTTATTTAGTTAATTTGGTGAGGTCATGTTTTCCTGGACGGTATTAATGCTAGTATTCTTCAGTGTTTGGGCATTGAAGAGTTAAGTATTTATTGTAGTCTTCACTGTCTCGGCTTATTTGTAGCCATCCTTCTTGGGAATGTTTTCCAGATATTTGTAAGGATTTGAGTCTTGTGATCCAAGCTGTATCTGCTCTAGGGGGAACCCCAAGCCCAGTGATGCTGTGGTTCTTGTAAACTTGTCCAGGTACCATCTAGATGGTCTTGGACAAGATCTGGAAGAATTCTCTTGATTACCAGACAGAGACTCTTGTTCTCTTCCCTTACTGTCTCCCAAACAAAGTCTCTCTCTCTGTTTCGAGCCACCCAAAGCTTGTGGTAGAGTGACACAAGCACTCCTATGGCTTCCACCAGTATGACTGCACTGGGTCAGACATGAAGCTATAACAGCACTGGGTCTTGCCAAGGCCTGCTATAACCACTTCTTGGCTACTGCCATTGTTTCCTCAAGGCCCTGGGGCTCTACAATCAGCAGGTGGCAAGGCCACTCAGGCCTGTGTCCTTCTCTTCAGGGTGGTGAGGTCCCCCAGACACCCCAGGTGAGTCCTTAGTGCCCTCTGGGAATCCGGGAGTAGAGTCAAAAACTTTAGAAGTCTACTTGGTGTTCTATTGCACTGCAGCTGACCTGGCACTCAAACTACAGGATCCAGTCGTTCCCACTCTTCCTTCCCTTTCTGAAGGCAGAGAAGCCTTATCCTGTAGCCACCGCCACCCCAGACCATGAAGAGTATTGCCAAACTACCAATGACATTCTCTTAAGGACCAAGGGCTCTTAAGTCAGCTTGTGGTGAATGCTGCCTCGCCTGGGACTCATCCTTCAGGGCAGTGGGCTCCCCTCTGGGCCAGGGCAGGTGCAGAATTGCCGTACAAGAGTCAAGTCCTAGAACTGGGGACCCCAAGAGTCTCCCTTGGTGCTTTAACCTGCTGTGACCATGCTGGTATCTAAGGTTCAGGACAACGTCCCCATTGCTTTTCCCTTTCAAGCAAAAGGAGTTTTGCCCCATAGCTACCCCAGCTGGTAATGTGCTGAGTCTCACCTGAAATCTGCAAGTCACACAAGCTCACCCAAGGCCCTCAATGTAGTAGCTAGGTGTTGCTGCTGGTTATTTACAGCCCAAGGGCTCTTCAGTTAGCAGGAGATGAATGTTGCCAGGACTGGGTACTTTCCTTCAAGAGAGCAGGTTCCCTTCTGGCCCAGGGTGTGTCTAGAAATGTCACTTGGGAGCTAGAACCTGGAATGAGGGCCTCATGACTCTGACTTGCCCTATCCTGCCAAGGCTGAGATGGTATCCAAGATACAAGACAAAGTCCTCCCCATTCTTCACTCTCCTCTCCTCAAGGGAAAGGAAGGGGTCTCCTTTGACCCCACAATGAGCTGTGTGGCTTTAGGTTGTTTGCAGGGTCGGGGGCAGGGGATGATGCCAGTACTCCCCTGGCTGCCCCAGCTGGTGTCTCAGTATGTCATGTGCCCCAGTCCACTGTCTCTGGGCCTAGTTGAGCACTAGGATTCACCTAAGAGTTACAATCCTTATGGTCTAGAGAGCCTTTCAAGCTTACCTGGAGGCACAGCATACTATAGCCCTCGGTGGCAAGATGTACAGGAACTCAAGTTCTGACTACTGGGATTAGCAATTCCCCTGTGTCTAGGGCTAGGTTAAATGCTCCCTCTGTGGGTGGGGATCAGCCGAGTTTGGTCTAGTTTTCCTCACTGATCCAACAGGACAGCACTAAGTTCAATGCCTCACAATTGCTGTGTTTTCTCTCCCCCAGTGCCCAGAGAGGCTCTCTGCACCATGCTGGAGGGGTGGCATTGCCAATTCAGGACTGTTGTTTCTAGCTCTTCAGTGACTCAGCCACATGAAGTTAGAACCAGGTACGATGAATGTTCATCTGATTTTTGGTTCTTATGAAGGTGTTTTTTCTATATAGATAGTTGTTAACTTGGTGTTCTTGGGTGGGGGACAATGGGTGGAGCCTTCTGTTCCACCATCTTGCTCCACCTCCTTTAATTATCTGTGTTTTACACACATATCTGCATAGTCGGTCATAGATTTGAAGCTTCTGATTTAAACTTAAATGTGTCTGAGAATATTTATCCTTAGGACACTTATGTGTGCATTTGTGTGTTACTGCTATAATAACTGCCTCATGGTGATTGAAAAACAGAAAAACGAGGAGAGTTTAAGCACAGGGGTGAGTGAGAAAAGTACTGAAGGATTTATAGTTAGTAGGGAGGCTTATCAGTGGGATATGTCAAGCACATTAAGTTGTTCCTGAGTTTGCAAATATTTTTCTCTGTGATTAGGCCATCTGTGTTTGCTAATTGGGGCCCATCAAAGTTAGGCTTCTATCCTCCCACAGGAACTGGGAGTTGGGGGTGCTATCTTTGATAATTATATATCAAAGGGATAGCTCCCAGGTCCTTGAGGAAGACATTCCTAAGTTGTAAAACTGTTAAGAAGCTTTTTTTAAAAAGACCTCTCAAACGAGGCAGAGAAAGAACTTATAATTACAAGTTTTCTGAAACAAATGCTCTAAGAAACAAGAAAATAAGAAGTCAAGGCCTACGGTTAGTAAGAAGCCCATCTAAAGTTCAGTCATGCTGAGGAGCACATCAATGCCATCTCAGTCATAAAGTTATGGCAAATGTTGATGTTTAAAAAGCTATACATCAGTAGGTCAGTTTAATGTTAGATGTTTACAGCCCTAACTTAGAATCCCCCTCTCCTTGCCCCAGCTTCCTCCTGACTACCCAGTGCATCAGGATACCACGGGATATCAGTGGTGGTGACTAGGTAAGAATTCTATCCTTTCAAGAACCTGAAGGAGAAACCTGGGCTGCTCCTGTATCTTCCATTCTCCCAGGGGACTCTGCCTGCCCCAGTGTCTACCAACGGATCCTTAATACTGTACTAGTGCCATGTGCTTTCACCAGCTGTGCAACCTTGGGCAACTTATTCAACCACCCTGAGCCTTGGCCTCTTCATTTGTAAACAAGCAATACATACCACACAGCATTGTATTAGGAGTAAATCTGATCTGTGTATAGCACTCAACACAATGCTTGGCATACAGTAATGACTCAAGAAATAATAACTATCAATAATAACTAACTTATTTCAGCCAGAAAATAAGTTAAAAGTATTATGGCTTAAATCTATTGAAATTAAAGCAGAAGAAACTATCAATGAGGCAGCAACTACTTCCAAAGTGCCATGTCCTATCCTCTGCAACCTTACCCAATTTTCTGCCCAACTTTCCAAGTCCTGTTCCCTCAAACTTAAAATATTTTCCCACACAGATCTTAAATCTTCATGTTATTTAGCCCAAGGGTGTAATGCAATTTTTAAAATTACAATGTTTTGTTTTATTTTCTTTTCCTATTTATCACTTAGAGCATTTTACCCCACCCCCCGCCAAAAAAAAAAAACCCCATGTGGGAGTTAACTGACTTTTCAGGAATCCTGTGCAAAATTCTACCCTAAAACGTTCTCCTTTGTTTGTGTCTTGGTAGCAACTCCAGACTTTTCAGGACTTGGACTCTGCTTTAGAATTGTGCTTAGACTGTCTCCACAAAAGTGGTCCGTTTCCTCATCCAATGAGCTCTGCTTGTTTGTCTGTGTGACACTCCAGTGGAAGGAAGCCAAGAGCCTATAGTAGCGATCCTGGGGAATATTTCAGCAGCTGGGGCCATGTAATTTAAAACCTCTGAAAAGTGTGCTGTGGTCCGTGCACAGCATTAGTATAACGCGAGGGCTGAATGCAGCCCGTTCTCCGGAGAACTTCCTCGCTCCCTGCAGCAAAGAGAAGACTGAAAGACAAACCTGGGTGCAGCCGGAGAGGTCCAGATAGATGAGCTTGTGGCATCCATTCCCCAGGTTCAGGTACTGTAAGCCTTTGTCTGTGAACCTTCTGCAATAAGCCAAACTAAGATTCTGTAAGTTGTGGAAGTGCCTGAAAAGACAAGGCAAGAAAGGGAGGAAGGAAAGTATTATACTTCAGTTGTTCTCTCAAATCTTGCTTAAGCCACTATGACAAAGAAAAGTAAAACTGTAAATTCAACTCTTCTTGCAGATGTTCAACAGTTTAACTTTACTGTTAACTCTCTACCTGTTAATTAAAGGATACTACAGTGTTATATAAGGTAACATATAATTATTTCATTTCAAGTGAAAGTATTAATAATTCAATAATACTTGCCTAGATTTTTAAGAAAGTTGACTGGAATAAAGCTTTTTTAGTGTGTGTGAGGTGGGGGAGGCAATCATATTGTTTAGAAGTGAAACCAAATTTGCAGAATTTATTGTTGCTTTTAGGTTTTATCTCTGGAGCACCAAAATAATGTGCAAAATACCTAGAAGGACAAATCATTTATAAAATTTAAATGGAGATTAACTGTTACAGGAGAGTGAGGATTTGGGGCAGAAGGCAAAATTGAACATCACTAGGCTCTTAAAAGAGATCTGATAAATAAATGAGTTGAAAAAATAGATTTAAATATGCATGATTTTATAAGTAACAGTTTCATTATTATAGTTAATGAAAGACTAATTGATATGCAGAATTTAACATGGATTAAGAAGACCAGTTTGCAAATAAGTGGGCAACACATGAGAAGAATTAAAAGCAACATCAGGGATTATAAATCTCACTGGAGTTGAAACAGATTAAATATGGTATTACCACAATGACCAAAATGAGAGCTTCCAGAAAAAAGGAGGGTAGTTAGGATGAGCCCATACTACCATACGAGGGCTTGCAGTTTGAGAACACTCTGTGGAGACTTTTCCAAGCCCTCCAAAGCCTGGCACTTTTTTTTTCTTTTTGGAGATGGAGTTTCCCTCCTGTTCCCCAGGCTGGAGTGCAATGGCACAATCTTAGCTCACTAAAACCTCTGCCCCCAGGGTTCAAGCGATTCTCCTGCCTCAGCCTCCCTAGTAGCTGGGATTACAAGCATGCACCACTGCACCCTGCTAATTTTTGTATATTTAACAGAGACGGGGTTTCGCCATGTTGGCCAGGCTGGTCTCGAACTCCTGACCTCAGGTGATCCACCCACCTCAGCCTCCCAAAGTGCTGGGATTACAGGTATGAGCCGCTGTGCCCGGAAAGCCTGGCACTTTTTAAGAGGCCAAGGACTCCTACTACTGCCTGCTCTTCTAATGGAATTAGCAATCATGCTCTTGATTTGTAATCTGCAACAGCTTAATAGCAAATTAGAAAGCAAAAAGAAAGAAAAGTAAAGAGAAAATGCTTCTCTGCCTCACAAAATCACACAGGTGAATGATAAAGTCTACCTTCCCATAAATGGGAAATAAGATATACAAGCATTGACCATTAGTTAGATTTTGAAAACACATCTATATGATATAATGATTTGCATTCCATAGCGAATTACTTGATTCAGAACACACGTCCCAATCTGGGAATGGCTGTGTACGTGAGATTCAACAGAATGAGGGAGAAGGCTTCGGACTCATCAGTGACTAGGTGGGCAGGGCCTGAAAAAGAAAGCAGTGCTAATATCCCAAAGATACGCCCCCTCTCTTGGGGCTGTTGAGTGGACTGAGCTGTGCTAAAGTTTTGGAAATGTATTATCTTCCTCTCCCTGAGTGCACTCTGTGATTCAACTGAATACAATTTTCTTGGGGTGGGGGGAGGCGCGCTAGGCTGTCATTTCTAACAATCCATGTGAGCTCAATAATAAAGAGGTAGTGAGGTGGGCAGCATGACACAGTGCAAAATACACAAGGTTTTGGAATCCGACCAAACCCCAGTCCTGACACTTACTGCAACCTCCCTAACCTTTCAGAGCTTGTTTTCTCATTTGTTAAGTGTAGATTAAAATATTATCTTTTTTTAACGCTGATCAACTGTGGAGCCTCCAGCTTTCCTGAACCTCTCATTTTCTCATCTGTAACATGGATGTAATCTGATCTGCTTGTTCCCTTTAAAGTTGTGACAATTAAATGAGAACGTAGAAGTCACAGTATTATCTTGAGGGTGATTATAACAATTAAAATCAGTGGGGACATAGTAGAAGATTTAAAACAATATGTAATAATATTGCTACTACTATGTAAAATGATAACAACACATTATTTTTATGGAGTTTGTATTATTCTTCCATTTAATGAAATGGATACTTATCTCCAAGAGTGGTGCATACAATAATTCCAAGAGTTTGAGGATTTCACATTGAGTCTATACCCTGATCTATACCTGTTACTCAATTTCTTTAAATCCATGTTCTCAGTTAACAAATGTTAAAAATGAAAATTGAGCTAGGTGCTCTTAACTTTGTTTTAATGTCACAGACACCTTTGGCTTTTGGCAGTTTGCTGAGGTCTATGGACTCTTTCTCAAAATATTTTTAAATGCGTAAAATAAAATATATAAGATTACAAAAACAGCCAATTATATTGAAATATATAATTATCAAAATATTTTTAAAAGAACAAACGAGTGGAATAGTAATATATGAGCTTCTATATTAATATATTAAATACAATCTAGTGGCAATCCTAATAACTGCTGTGATTGTGAAGTATCAGTGATATTTTGGAATACTTATAACAACTGAAATGTAGCAAGAATATGTTTGTGATTTATATGGGTGAAAATGTCCCAGAGACTGCTATTACTTCTCTAGTTTTAACCTGCATTTCAGTTACAGCTTAATGAAAATAAAGATGAGCTTTTAAAATCCCGCATTAAAATTCATGGAGCTCCTGAACTCTATCACTGATCCTCTTGGGGGAATCTACTGCTCCTCAGCTAAGAACCTCTGGTTTAGACAAAAGAGGTTGTTCATTAGACTAAGTGACTCCTGGATTGAAAGCCTCTGGATTGCTCTTTTCACAGTGGAACCTCATAGGAACCGTCAGTTTGAAAGCAAAGCTCGGGAATCTTGAGTAGCCCTGTAGGTTTTTCTAGGGATTTACGGTTCGGCAGACTTAAAGCTGCTGGGAATGGGAAAAGTGTCAGTTGACAGTGAAATCACAGGTGGCAAATTTTGTGCAATACTCACACTCTTTATTCTGAATTTTGGCAAAGATGCGTGTCCCCTATGTGAGTAAAATCTGATTCATCATTTTCCCAGCCCAGAGAACACTTAGTAACTCTAATTCTGCTTTGAGGCAGTGTTTATAGCTTATTTTTATCTTTTTCTAATTATTTGATAACTGTTTCTTATTGGGGGTGTGTGAGTTCTCTCTTTGTGATTTATTTATTTTTCTGCTACTACTATAATCTTTAAGAAATTACAATTCTTATAGAAACTACAAATATTTTTTTTTCTCCTTTCTTTTGGCTTTTTTCCATCAAAGAATTGAAGTCATTTGTGTTAAATCTCTAACACCTGAAAGACTTGCTACTAGGATGAATAGAAAATTATGTATTTAAATAAAAATTTCTCTGAAAATGTAACCAAGACAGAGCCTAGTCTGTAAAAGAGGGAATTTGCACATGGATCCTCTTGAGTTGAGTGCTGGGCTCTTTGGTTTCACAGAGGCATTTCAAGTAATCAAATTCTGAAGAAAAGCTAAATGGAGTGATCTGGCCTTCTGTTTATAGGGTAGACCTTGAAGTTTTCCAGTCAAGACAACAGCTTACTCTGTGTGCCCCACTTTGATGGGCACTGGTAAGACTATAGATTATGATAGTCCCTAACAATAAGAAATTTCCAAGCCAATTGAAAGGTCAATTCATTTACATAAAAAACTATTGAATACTACTCCACTACAGCATTTAAGACTCAATTAAAGAGCAAAGATCATAATGGCTTTACTCAGCATGGTATGTCCAGAAGGCTTTGCACAAACTAGTCGATCAATACATGGTGAAAAAGTGAATGAATGCTGTTATTAGAATTCAGGAAAAGGAAAAATCCCTGTGGACTTCTGGTAGATGGTGAGACTTAAGGTGTGAAGGCTGTGGATTAGCCTAGAGAAAGAGAAAGGCATTCCGACTACAGAGAATATGAAGCATATAGCAATCAGATGACTGGAGTCAAGGGTTTCTCTTGGGAAACCTAGGCAGAGAAGTTTGGATAATGTTAACAGAGAGTAAGGGAAGAATCTAGATCTTAAGCATGTCAAAGACATGATAAGAAGATTGTTCCAGGATGATACTTCTTGTAGCATGAGACAGAGCAGACTGAAGGGAGGAAAGACCAGAGGCAGCACCACCAAGATATTGTGCCAGATGAGGTTCTGAGAGTGCCACCTAGGTTGTGGCAAGAGGAATAAACAGAAAGTGTTTCATTCCGAAAACATTTAGAGGCAACAAATTAATTTCCTGGAACGGGCATGAGCTTTGGGCAGCCCTCATTTTCAACTTTAGAAAACTGAGCAGCCAGGCCCGGTGGCTCAAGCCTGTAATCCCAGCACTTTGGGAGGCTGAGGCGGGTGGATCACGAGGTCAGGAAATAAAGACCATCCTGGCCAAAATGGTGAAACCCTGTCCCTACTAAAAATGCAAAAATTAGCTGGGCATGGTGGCGCATGCCTGTAATCCCAGCTACTTGGGAGGCTGAAGCAGGAGAATCGCTTGAACCATGGAGTCAGAGGTTGCAGTGAGCCAATATTGTGCCATTGCACTCCAGCCTGGCGATGGAATTACAAGACTCTGTCTCAAAAAAAAAAAAAAAAAAAAAAAAAACTGAGCAAGTCCCCAAAGAAGTAAGAAAAAATATTCAAATAAAAAGTTGGCAAATCACTGTTGCCAAGGACAAACAAATTACATTTTTCTTTTGGCAAGTACTTTTTTTGGAAAGAAATCTTAAAGGCAATGAAGAGAGAATGACAGCAGCAACAACCAACATTTCTCTGGTTATTTACAGTTTCAAGAACATTTTTGCATATCCAAGCATATTTGAAAGAATGGAAAACAGAGCAAAAACAGAGACTCATTATGAAAAGTATTTTTATCATAGATTAGTATACTTTTTTATA